CCTGCTGCCACCCGCGGAGCAGGCCAGGCAGAGCTAGCTCGACGCTGGATGCAGGATGTTAGTGCTGGATGCTGGAGTGTTTGACGACGCTATATGAGGCAGCGGACTGATTCCGAGGGACCTTTACATCGCTCTGTCTCCCTCGCACTCACGTGTCGTCCCGCATAGGTGGGAGAGTGACAGAGCGACGAAAGCGACTCTCGGAATCAGTCTGCATACAGTGCACAGCGTCGCGAGCGCACGCCGCCGCCGGCCTGCCGGTGCCCAGCCGGCTGAGTGGCTCCGAAAAATGTCGCTCCGTCTCCCTTGAACTCTAGAGCCGTTCGCACACGGCTGCGAGAGAGACAGAGACGGGGCGACGAAGGCACAGTTCGGAATCAGCCTGCAGGTGCCCCCGTCGAGAAGCAGAAAGGGTTGCATAACTACACGGCGCCCCCGCACTGCCTGGCGCGGCTTGGCGCGGCTTGGCGTGGCTACGCCAGCCTGGGAGGGAAGCCGTCTGCCGCGCCGCCGCTGGAGCGGGGCGTTCGAGGGACTCGCCTTAAATGACGAGGACGAGAGGGATACGGTTTCCCTTTCTTCCCCTGCCCTCTCCTCCCCTCCCCTCCGAGCAAGTCGGGTAGCCTGACCGTGCATGTGCCTTTAGTGAACATGCAGCGCGGTTTATCTCTTGGACTCCAACCCCAACCCGCGTCCCCCCTTTCTCTACCTCTCCCTGTCTCCTTTTTTCGATCTCCACTAATTAATGCGAGCCCCCTCCTTGCACTGACTGTGTCGCGTGAGCGCTCGCGAGGTGGAAGGGATGGGGTAGGGGGTGGGGGCGGAACGTGTGCCATCCCTGCACATTGCGATTAGCGGCCAAGTAATCGCCGAGCCGTAGACAAGCAGCGCAAGTCGCTCCGTCTCTCTCGCACTCGTAGGGTGCCCCGTGTGGGTGCGAGAGAGACAGAGCGACGGAGCCGGAACTCGGTTCGCGATCGTCGTGCTTTCCCCGAGCTGTATCGCTTCCCCCGCGTGCTCGTGTGCGGTGTGCCGGGAGCGCTCCCCTCGCCCCTGCAGACTGATTCCGAGAGTCGTTCTCGTCGCTCTGCTTCTCTTGCACCTCGAGGAGACGCCCCACGAGTGCGAGAGAGACAGAGCGACGAGAACGACTCTCGGAATCAGTCTGCGGGCCCCGGGCACTTGAACCAGGAACGAGGCATTGTTCCGCATTCTCGGACTTTGTTGCGATGACGAGCCGACGCGGCGTGCGACCCCCGACCCCGGCCTGCCCCGGTCCCGACCCAGAAGCGTCCATGCGTGTCGATGCATCCGGCCTCCGGGTAGTCCGGTACCCCCTGGCCCACCCCGCCTCGCCCCGCCCCGCCCCGCCCCGCCCCGCCCCGCCTGCATGCGCATTTCTGGTCCGGTGCCGTCGCCGGTCCGGGGGCGAGGCGTGGGAGGCGGGGGTCCGGACAAGGGGCCGGACAGCGCACCGTTGTTTACCGACCCCGTGCCGCACCGCGCCAGCAGCCGGGCAGACAGACAGACAGACAGACAGACAGACAGACGGACGGACGGACGGACGGACGGACGGACGGACCGGCGACCAGGTCCGTCAAAACAAACAGTGCCTAGCCTGCTGGAAAAGGCAGCTGGATCGACAGCCCGGGATTGGAACGGGGCGGTAAAGCCGTGCAGCCGGCGCGGCGGGGCCCAACTGAAAATGACCCCCGCGGAGTGGCACGCTTCCCCCGCCCCACCCCGACGCACCCCGCCGCACCTCACCGCGCCTCGCCCCGCCCCGCGGCGCCCCGCGGGACTGCCGCGCGTCCCGGCGGGATGGGGCTGATACATTATGTTACATGTTGCGGGGGAGGGCGGTGGGGACGGGGACGAGGGACGCGCACCAGGCCCTCCCGGGAAGTGCGCGCGGGTGCTCGCCCGGGCGGCGATGCGGTGCACGCTATGCAGGCCAAGCAGGCCGGGCAGGCCAGGCAGGCCGAGAGACTCCATCGCTCGTGGAAAACTTGCGGCGAATGCGGAATGGGTGCGCCGCGCTGCGCCGCGCTGCACGCCGCACGACGCAGAGGGCCTTCTTCGCCTTCGCCTTCAACTTTTCTCTGTTCCTCGCACCGCGCTCCTTCCTCTTCCTCCCTTCTTCCGGGACGCGGCGCCACGGCGACGCCGCAGAGCGTCTCCGAACACAGTGTTTCGTCGCCGCCCTGTCTCTCTCGCACCCCTACGACAGGCCCCATGAATGTGTGTGGAGAGAGAGAGAGAGAGAGAGAGAGAGAGAGAGAGAGAGAGAGAGAGACTGAACGACGAAAGCAATGTTCGGAATCGGCCTGCTGTGGAGGGGAGCGTTTTTCGCCGCTGGACCCTGTAAGTGCTAAAAGCGCCCGGGGCGTGGCGTGGCGTGGCGTGGCGCGGCGTGGCGTGGCGCGGCGTGGCCGCGGCGTTCGGTTCCGGTCCACGACAAACAACCACGGCGACGGTCTGGGAGTCCCGCCGAGTCCGGCCCGCGGCACCTTCTCCGGACCAGTCACTGCAGACTGATTCCGAAGAGGGCCCCGTCGCCCTGTCTCTCTCGCACCCCGACGAGACGCGCCGCGAGTGCGAGAGAGACAGAGGGACGAAGGCGCCGTCAGGATTCAGCCCGCGGCACCAAGTGGTCCAGGGCTGTCGCGCGGTCGGGCGAGCGAGTGAAGATTAATATCGCGGGGTATTGTGATCGATGGCTGGCGGGGCTGGCGGGGCTGGTGCTGGCCGTGCTGGCCGTGCTGGCCGTGCTGGCCGTGAGATGGAAGGGAAATATATCGAAAGGGCGCTGCAGTTCCACAGCCCTCCCCCGCCTCTCCCACGCGGTGCAGCGACACCAGCGCCTGGCGCCTAGCGCCTGCGGGGTGCCGGGTGGGCCAGCCCGCAGCACAGGCCTGCTCGACGGCACTGCCTACCCGCCAGGCGCTCCACCGCCTGCGGGGTGCCGGGTGGGCCAGCCCGCAGCACAGGCCTGCTCGACGGCACTGCCTACCCGCCAGGCGCTCCACCGCCTGCGGGGTGCCGGGTGGGCCAGCCCGCAGCACAGGCCTGCTCGACGGCACTGCCTACCCGCCAGGCGCTCCACCGCCTGCGGGGTGCCGGGTGGGCCAGCCCGCAGCACAGGCCTGCTCGACGGCACTGCCTACCCGCCAGGCGCTCCACCGCCTGCGGGGTGCCGGGTGGGCCAGCCCGCAGCACAGGCCTGCTCGACGGCACTGCCTACCCGCCAGGCGCCCCGGCCGCGGGGGGAGCAGCACTCCGTCGAGGCGGAAGCGCTGGATATTGAAACGAAGCGAGAGGGCTCCTGTACCACTCCGAGAAGGGCGCGGGGGTGATGCGCGCTGGGGGTGGTGGTGGTGGGGATGCACATTATGAAGAAATTCGACATGAAAAGAGTGTGCCAGCTCGCATACCGACCGCGACCCCCCCCTCCCTCCCCTTTTTGAGGAGCGGCATCCCTTGAGCCCTCTGCGAGAGCCGAAGCAAGGCCTCAGCCGCACTACGCCCAATGAGATGCACGCATGCAAAGAATGAGGGGGGGGAGGGGCACGCCACCCTTCGCATCGAGGTCTCGTGGGTCTGTTGCGGCCAGACTGCAATAGGCTGAATGGGGTCCAAGGCACGGGCCCCTCCCCGCCCCGCCTCCAGCCCCACCAGGGGGCGGTCAGGTGGCCTGCAGTGGCCTGGAAAACGGACGGACGGCCAACCTGGTTAGCTGGAGAAGCTGGGGAAAGGCAGAAGCCGAGCCAAGTTAGCAGGGGGTGTCATCCTTGCGGCGTAGCCGCGTAGCCGCGCCACTGTTAAAACAACAGCTGGACCGCACCAGGGGGTGTCCACCCCTCGTCCGCCCCGAGGGGGCGAAGCGGGCGAAGCGGCCGGATGGCTTCAAGTCCCAAGGCCGATGTGAAATGTCATAGAAGGCTCCGCACGGGGCGCGTGGCCGCGCGTGGGACGGCACGACGGCACGACGGCGCACGGAGGGCGAGATGCCGAGGAGATGGTGCTATGGCGGGGACGAGACTTTGTTATTGGACAATAAATGGCAACTCGACGAGAAAGAACGCCCAGCGCGCAGCTCTATGGAACGGCGGACAGCCCTCCGAGACATTCCCTGCCGCCCGGCGTCTCATTTCGAGTTTTTTCCCCGTGTGCCTTCTCTCTCTTTCTTTCTTTATCTTTCTCTCTCTCTCTCTCTCTCTCTCTCTCTCTCTCTCTCTCTCTCTCTCTCTCTCTCTCTCGAGTGCGACAGAGACAGGGACACGAAAGTAGATAGGCGGCATCTGGCGGCGGCGGCAACGGCAGCACGTCCTGCCCAAGGACCAAGGACTTGGTTCCTCCCGGCCCGGCATGGCCCGGCGAGGATCAGGCGATTTAAAAGTCGCCCAGCCCAGCCCACGGCCTGCCATGGCCTGCCTTGGCCCAGACGTGTTGCCCGGGGGTGGCGCGGTGCGCAGGGCGGTCGCCGTTGCCTCAGTGGCTCAACTCCCGGCAGGCTGATCCTGAACAGCGCGCTCCACCATCCGTCTCTCTCGCACCCGCACGGGACGCCCGGCACGGGCCGTGAGTGCGAGAGAGACAGAGCGACGCTAGGATAAGAGCCAGGCCTGGGGCCTCACGCCGCAGCCCATTATCAGATGAGCACCCCGGGGATTACACCGAAAAGCAAAGCCTTGCCCGCCCGGCGCCCACACCGGGCAGGTGGTCGAACAGTCCACCGCCCCCGGTAAATGGGGAAGTGGGTGCGAAGAATAATTCATGCATCTCCTTTTTGTCCCCATTTTTTTTTTTTTTTTTTTTGGGGGGGGGGGCTTTGGTGCCGGGTGGGGCCATGTCTCCCATCATCCCTTTCCTTTTAGCAGTGTCTGACACTGTACTAACTCGGGGCATTAGGCTGTATGCTCTGTATTCTTGCAAACAACTTTATCACAATAATCCTCATCAAAAGAAATTGCGTATCAGGTGGAAATGAAACAAGCCGGCATAGTGTACAAATATCTATTTTTGTAACAAATGTAAACACTGTAACAAATGACAGACATTTGAAGTACTCACTCAAAAAAAAAATGAAGGCCCTCATTTCTGAGCGGCACATTGAAACAATATACTATATCTTCTTGGTTGTCTGCATGACAATTTGAAAGGTATCACAATTTTTCTGTTTTTTACATCATGCCTCAGAGAGACTTGTAGGTTGTTAGGTAACACCAACTAAAATCAAAATACTAACTGTACAATATATTCATCCAATTTAGTTAATTACAGTTTGTTCCTAGTATGAAAATAGCAAACCTGCACCATTTGTAAAGTGCATAATATGGCAAATTTAAAAAGTTTTGCTCGACACATAAAAATAAGTTTCAAAAATGACATTTTAAAGTTTCATTACAATAGCAGCAAACTGGAATGTCACGTCCATGGACCCATCACTTCTTTGACTGTTGGAGTAATGGATAACTGGTCAAATATCTTAGTTATTTACCATATCTACAAAAATAGAACATCTATCTAAAACTAATAATAATTACTGAGCAGTAATTGGAAAACACTATCTCCTCAGCAAGAGATTCATGGTCACAATGCATTTTATCATATCTACAGCACATAATTATTCATTCTTTCATGCTTGACTTTCTATTTTACATAAATCTCCATTGACATTAATTCTGGGATAACTTATTACTTACATTCCTCTATCCATCTGGCACCCACTCTTGTCAGTCTTTTCTCCAAAAAAATTTATGGGCATTAACAATGAACAGGGGAAACAGAGGCATCCTCATATTAATTAAAATAAATTAAAAAGAAAAACATTACAACATTCAACAACAAAACAGACCAAAAACTGGGTACAGGTAGCATCACATAAAATAACTGATGAATACTGATCATAATAAGTATTTTTTAACTATTCAGGCTACACATTAAAATAGAAAATAGTCAAATGCACAGCATTTGCATGGGTGATGCTTGTTCATAAAGTACCATTGTACTTCTTTCATTTATGTACACAACTTTATACAACACAAAGTTAAAATCAAAATTGCATATTACAGTAATACACATGTCAACATGAAACAAGATATTGAAAATGTATCACATGCATCACATCTTCCTCTGGTTTCCAAACAAAGAGTTCATTAGGTAAAGCTTCAGTATGACTCAAAAACTATCTACTCCAACAACTAATTTATGTAACAATCGTAAAAAACACACAACACTGAACACAACCACGTTTTGACACAACAATTCATCTTTATGACACAGCACAAATTGGCACATAAAGAAGCAGATCCGACTGGACAGCAATCCTATAGGACAGAATCGTTGGACGGAAAAAAGACGTTAAATCCAAAAAGAGAGAAAGATTCTAAATGAATCAGTCGCAGAATCAATCGAAGAAATTATTAAGTAATACGTTTCTCTGTAAAAGCGAAGAGAGGAACAAATTAAAAGCTTACTAAAGAAACATATTCCCTAGTTAATATTAAGTAGAAGGTGCCTGGCCACTGAAAAATCATACGCTCATATTAGCTCTGCTACAAAATGTGGTTGTCCGTGGTGGTGTGCTCTTACACTCCCCCCTGCTGAGCCAGGTAGAGGTGGAGGAAGAGCAGGAAGTTGATCAGGCACCTGGAATGTTGAGCCTTGGAAACCTAGAGCAGCTTCATACATCTGAAAAAGAAACAACAAAAAAACATGCATTTTTCTTCAAACACAGATCGAGGTACAAATTGTAAGGGGTTCGAATGGAATTTATTGGATCTTACGTCTCTATGATTTCCATGATTATCAGTTCCTCTCAATGTTGCATAATTGCCTCCATCATCTGCAACATCTTGAGAGCCTCTTCTGTTTGGGTGCTGAATTGTTGCATAGGTGTTGTCAACCTAAAATAACACAATGACAAACAAAATGACAAAACTCCAACCAGAAAATAAAAAAATAATGCTTTTAAACAAAGCATATGACACAACATAACTTACATGTGAAAAGTCAGCACTGTCTCTGCATTCAATATCTACACTATGATCGGGTTCACAAAAAACTTGCATGGTTAATTCTTGCTCTTCATACAATTTCAATTTCCTGTAAAAGTTCAAGATCATTTCAGAAATTATATTGACCCTTTTAATTGCCATACATTTATGGTTTCAAGTTATTTTTCTCTTTTTTATTTTTGTAGAAACTCACTGCTCAATCCATAGGGGGTTCTCTGTGGTGTTTAAGTCATCAATAATGGCTTTTTTAATGAGAGCATCCTTTTTCTTCATGTCTGATGGTTGTGACACAATCCTGAAATAGATAAAAATATTGTTGGAATAACAATCTTATCCTTCAAGTTATTCTGCATAAAAGGGTACTCCCATTAATTTTAACTGACCAGTGTCTGAAGCAGCAACAAACAACAACGACTGTGACACATCCGACGAAGAGAACTATGAGCAGAGCAATGAGAGCAGCAAGAGCTGAGTCGATGGATTCTTCCTTTGGCGTCACATAAGCAGGCTGTAACAAACAACAACATTCATTTGCAACCGTTTTTCAACTTGTAAAATAAAATGAATCACAAAGAAAAATCTTACCACAACATTTTCAATAGCAAAACCAGCATAGTAGTCCTTCAAAAAGTCATACTTTGCATCAATAACTTTCAGTACTTCTGGAATGGCCGAAATTGTGTTGGATGGAGTGTCGACAACATGAAGGTACATGTCACTCCTGAGCATGGAAAAAAAAACCAAATGAGATTGATTCCAAACTAACATGTTTTTTTTTTATTTCTGACATTTTTGAAGAAGAAAAACTTACCAATCTGGTCGAGGGCGCCCCTGGCTATTAACATGTGGACCAATGCCATCCACAACAACCAGTCGTTGGGTGGCATTTGACAATTCAGCCACAATTTCAGCCTGCTGGGCATTGACTTCACTGGGAGGTCGTGACAAAATTACTCGAACAAGTTGTGAAGGTTCATACAGCCACACCTAAAACAGAGAAACTTGCAGTGACTTACAGAGCCCAGAATTAACTAGAAAACTCACTTTGATGTCAATACTTACATGAACCTTGGTTCTTGTCTCCCTCTCAGGTGTGGCTTGCTCTCTAGCAACCACATCAACAATGAATCGATCTTGATTGTATTCGGCCATGTAATTGGACGTGCGAAGCTGACCACTTTGTGTGATGTTAAATGGACTCGGGACTATTGATCCAGATGATCTGTTGGACCCATACCTAAAAAAAAAAAAAAAGTTAAATGAAAATGAGTTGTTTGAAAAAAAAAAACTTACTAGCCAATCACACTTGAGAACCCAGTGGTACACACTTGTAAAGATTGGATGCTGCAATATAATAGATGATGGAACCATTCGCTCCCAAATCAGGGTCCTTTGCTGTGAGTTGAATCACAAGCTCATCAACATTAGCCATGGCATTGACACCTGGAAATTGAAGAAAAGAAAACTGAATTGTTGAAGACATATAGATAAACAACAAAATGAATTAGGTCAAACTATAACTATGTATACCTGCAAAATAGTTTGCGTGTTCAAATTGAGGTGCATTATCATTCTCATCCAGTACTGCAATCACAACATGGGCAATTGTGGGGTCTTGCTGGAGTTCATCATCACTCAAACCACTCATTTCCTCCTGAGAAAAATAAGACCAGATCAAAAATTAAATCTGAGACAGTTGAGCATTGCAATGGTAATTTTTCACAAAATAGTAACTAGATTACCTTTGACATGTAAAAATCAGGATCATTACTAGCTTTGACATACAGCTCAAAGGAGTCCTCCTTTTCACGGTCAAGGGTGGCATTTGTGTAAATGGTTCCATCAGTTCGTTCAATTGTAAAAAGGCCAGGGCCACTAGACCGAATGATATAATAATATATTCTAGCATAAAGCCCTTCATCCGGATCATGTGCTTCCACTTTACCTAGAACCAAAATTGAAGTGTTACATAAGGTTAAATAATATAACTTGATAAGTAAACCATTCCTCAACTGGTTAAAACACTGTGCTTACCTATTTTCACAGTACTTGGTGCATTTTCAGGAGCACTGAAATGATATGGGTTTGTTGATGAAGTGCGGGGGAACTCAGGATAGTTGTCATTAGCATCGATGATATTAATGGTGAGTACTCTCAGGGTTTCATAGCTAGTGGGGGATCCGTGGTCACGAGCAACTAGGACCAACTATAACAAAAGGAAATGTTTAATATGACGCACAAAAGAAAAGGTTTGAGGAAAGAAAAAAAAATCAAGGCCAGTGTTTCACTACCTCATATTTATCTTTCACTTCTCTATCCAGGAGCACTTTGGTGACGATTTCTCCAGATTCTTCATTGATATAAAACTCATCTGTTTCTTGAACATTTTTATTATCAACCTTGAAGTGATAAGTGACATGACCATTTTCACCACTGTCACCATCATTGGCCTTCACGAACATCACTGAGTAACCCACTTCTGCATTGCTCTGAATTAAAAAAATTAAAAAGCCACAATAAATAAATGATGGGAAAGAGCAGGTTCAGTATTATAATATTTCTTTCTTATCACGTTCAATTCAAATAAAACGTTTCTTGAATTTATTTTTACCTCTGGAATACCAATGGAGGCATTGGTGGATCCTGGCTGGAAGAATACTGGCTTATTGTGGTTCACATCAAGAACTGTAATATTTACATCTGCGCGGTCCATGAAATGTCCATCACTTGCTTCTACTAAGAGGTGGAAGTGGCGCTCAGCACCCACCAGAGAAGAGGATGCATATAAAACCCCTGTCTCTGGATCTACAGCAAATGCACCTAAAACAAAAGAGGCTAGGTATTTAATATATGTCCCATTTAAAAATGAGGAAGAAAGACAAAAATAGGATTCACTTACCTCCACTGTTACCAGACACAATTGAATACCGCACATGAGCATTTTCTCCTTGATCGGGATCTTCAGCCCGGAGCTGGACTAAAGGTGCATTGAGAGACACCGTCTCTTCAACAGTTGCTCTATAACTGTGCTGGGTTAGGACAGGGGGGTTATCATTGATGTCTAAAATACGAATGACCACCTGTGCCCGATAAAAATTGATTAGATACTGCCCTGATGCTAAACTTATATTCTCAGAGGCCCTGGACCTACCGGAACTGCTGCTGTACGCCTAGTATCAGGAGGAGCACCATCACTAGCCATTACTTGAATTGTTATTTCAGGAGTTGTCTCTCGGTCCAACACTCGGGGATGAGCAACAGTGATCTCTCCACTATCTCGGTCAATTAAAAAGTCATTGCTGTGTTCTCCTATGAGTTGGTAAGTGACAACACCAAACAAGCCATCGTCCTTATCTGTCGCTTTCACTTTAACAACTACAGTGCCTGCAGGGGCATTTTCCTTGACTGCAGCTTCATACTTTGGCTGTAATGAATGAATGTAATAAATAAGATGGCCTTGCTGACAATTTTACAGTAAATTTAAGCCCCCTATGGGACCTACCTGAGCAAATACAGGATCCATATCATTGATATTGACAACATTAACTGTTACATCAGCTGTTGATGAGAGTGGGGGTGCACCTGAATCATAAGCCACAACTGTGAAGTTTAGCCTGTTATTTTCCTCATAGTCTATACGCCTGGTGGTGCGGACAACACCTGAAAGCAACAAGTCAATTTTTTATCTCAATCCTAATCAATTTCAGCTACTACAATTGACTCTTTTGACATTTTAAAGGCCTGTCTTACCTGTGACATTATTTATTTCAAAATAAGCAGATGGAGGAACAATGGCATATCCTTGTATGTTGGAATCAGCATCTGTGGCTGTAAAGGTTCCCACTGTTGTCCCAATGGGCTGCTCTTCAATGAGCTCAACTTTGTAGTGAGGATCCTCTCTCGTCCAAGGCTTGGAAAACATTGGAGGGAAATCATTCACATCAATGATATTTACCACCAATGTGCCTAGTTGGAAAAGGAATAAATTTCATTGAGTACACAATCAACACAAATCAGTGGGATTAAATCAAAGTGTGACTGCATTACCTTTCCCTTGCTGCATAGTTGGGGCAGTAATATCTGTGACCAAAACTGTGATTCTAACAACTGCTGCTATATCACGCTGTAGAGGCTTTGCAACGAAAACTTCACCAGTAGAGCTGTCAATACTGAAAAATTCCTGTATCATTTTTGTTTGGAGGAGAAACAAAAGCAAACATACAATTAGAATTGGTTTATAAAGCAAATAAGTCTGCAGATTTTAGTTCAAAAACACAAGACATTTGCTCACCTTGAAATCCTCAGTATCATTCACTGGTTTCCCATGCTTGTCAACAGCTGTGATTGGTTCTGATGCAGCAAAGTTCAAAGCCTCAGGTGTATTCACATCCAGGTCAGTGGCGTTAAGAGTGTAGAATAATGTGCCAGGCTGAGTATCTTCAGTCACCTGAAAATTTGTAAACATGTAATTTTGTAATCAAGTACAGTTATTTTGCACTTCTAATTTTAACAAAACTATTATACTTACAGCAGCATTTTGAGTGGCTGGCACAAAGAAAGGGGCTTTGTCATTTGTGTTGAGGATATTGACCATTAATGTGGTTGTACCACTAAGCATCGGAATACCTGGCAAAAAAAAAAAATAACAAAACTTTGATGCTTTAAGCTCTAGGAACAGTGGCATTACAGAAAACTCAAATAATATAAACTTTAATTTCTCTACCTCCATCAACAGCTATGATCTCAATGTTATACAAGCGTCGGCGATCAAAGTCTAAGTGGTTTGCTACTTTCACAACCCCGGAGTCTGAATCAATGGAAAAATCATCAAATGCACCCTTTTGAATTTTGTATTTTATTTGGGCATTGACTCCCGCATCTGCATCTGTGGCTGTTACAGTGTCCACCATTGTGCCTGAAACAAGCAGAATTCATATTTAATATTTTGTCGACTTAACTGATCTTAAAGAGTACATGATTCCAGAACTCACCAATATCAATATCTTCTGGTAGTGATGCGAGGTATGTCTCTTGTTCAAACTCGGGATGGTTATTGTTCACATCCAAAACATTAATATGGACGATACATTGTGAACTGAATTTTCCATCAGAGGCCTGAGAAATAATGATTTCATTATAATTAAATTAGATACAATATGAGTCAAAAGTTGTAGGAGTTCATGCATCACAAAAAATTACCTGGACAGTTAAGTCAATTGTATCAGTAGGAATATTTGTCATATCTAGACCAGTAGGATTTGAGACTTTCACTTCCCCAGTGAGAGAATCAATGGAGAAAAGATTCTGAATATTGCCTTGTTTGATTGAGTAGGTAACCTCGGATGTTTTATCAGCATCTCGTGCCTGAAATAACATAGTAATAGAAAAATTAACAGTCAGCTAAACCAAATTTTATTTAATATTTTGCACCGACCAACTTTTGTGCATGGCAAAAGAAAATACCTCAACAACAAGAGGAGGTTCAAAGCCAGACGCTCCCTCATCAATTACAGCACTGTAATTCTGACTGGTGAAAATTGGAGTGTTGTCATTCGAATCAAGGAGAGAGATTTTCAAGGGAACCACAGCAGACAAGCCTCCCTGTGATCCCTCATCATCAGTAACCTTGTAATTCAAGTAGTAGACAGGTTTCGTTTCGAAGTCCAAGCAAGATCCTGAGCCAGGGTTTTCGCAAGGTGCAACCAAAATCACCCCAGTTTTTCTGTTTACAACAAATCTGAAAATTGTAAAATCAAAACAAAAATTAGTACAATTGGTTATATTTTTGGTTCTTTTTCAAATTAAATTTAGGGGAAATGAAAGAAAAATGTCTTACTTTTCGGCACCATCACCAATCAACTGATAGACAAAACCATCTTCACCATAGCGACCATGGTCTCGATCATGAGCAGTGATGGTGGTTATTACAGTTCCTGGGGAAGCACTCTCATGCACACTGGCAGAATATGCTTCCAAATCAAAAACTGGTGCATTGTCATTCTCATCAGTTACAGTCACAGTAACAGTTGCAGTAGATGATAGTCTAGGTTCTGTGTGTAACTCCTCAGCAACCACCAAAATAATAAATTTACGGTTGTTGGGGTTTTCATAATCCATAGAACCATTGGCAACTCTTATGTTGACTGATGTTGAACCTATTGCTTTGCTTGGTTCAACAGCAAAAGCACCAGAAACATCTTGTAAGTGCAATGAAAATTCAGAGTTTGTGCCCTGAAATAAACAGAAAGATTACAATAGACATATCTTCTTGTACATAACAAGAAAATTTGAAGTAGTAAAGTTAAATGGGGTACATACAACATCTGAGTCAGTCACAGTCATATCCAAGTGCGGCAAAGGTGTTCCATTGGCTGCATTTTCCGGAATCGAAACACTATACTCTTTCCGGTCAAATGTAGGTGGCTCATCATTAACATCACGGATTGTGACAGTAGCTTCAGCTGTAGCACTGGTGTAAGGATCTTCACTAGGATAACCATCAACTAGCTCTCTCGCCTATAGAACCAAGTTTCAAATAAAATATAAATTAGACAAAAAAAATTTAAAGAATAAACATTACAATAAAGTAAAGAAAAGAGGCCTTACCCTAATTTTTACTTTCAAAACACCTGTGGTGTCTTCTAAAGCCTCTCTATCTAGAGGACGAGCAGTTCTCAACTCTCCAGTGTGAGAATCCAGCAAAAAGTACTCCAGGGGATCTGAAACCACATTGTATTTGTTATCCGAACAATTAGAAAATTATGAGAGAAATAAAAAATACAAATGTTGAGGAAAAGCACTTACTATTAACAAGCTCATAGTAAATCGGCCTTGGTTGACCGCGGTCTCCATCTCTGGCTTGAGCTTTGAGAACAAGGGTACCGATTGGATCATTTTCTTCCAGAACTCCAGTTAATGATCCTTGGAAAACAGGAGGAGAATTCTGCACATCTTCAACTTTTACCTCAACACTTGTAGTTGAATTGAATGTCCCATCCTACATAACAGAGAATGTTATTAAATAATATAATAAAACAATTGGTCAAAAACATTTATAATTCTGAGCTGCTATTCTTCTTACCGTTGCCACCAGAACAAATTGGTAAAACTGACGTTCATTGTAGTCCAATGGCTTCTCCAAAACAATGTCGCCAGAGAAATGGCTGGCATTGGCTGACACAACTGAAACCGAAAACTTCTCACATGCTCCTTGAAACTGGGGATCTTCGACGCAAGCCACTTCCAGGGTTTCGCCTGTAAGGTCTGGATCTTGCAATTGTATTCCTCGGAACACAACAGTTTGGGGTTTTGCATCTTCAGGTACTAAAACTTCATAAGGAGTCTGAAAGATAATTTTAAAACATTATTATGTAAATAAACAATTAGATAGTGAGATGAAACATGATGAAGCTGAGCATACCCCAAGAAAAACAGGCGGATTATCATTCACATCAGCGATGATGACGGAGACTTCAACCTGGACCAGATTGTTTTTCCCACTGTGAATGACATTGTCATCGCCGAGCTCATCCTCCAGAGTGACATAAAACCTAAGAGTGTCGTTAATCTGAAACAGAAAGCACAACGATAAACATCAAGGCAAACCTTCTTCCATCCTGTAACCAGCTTCAGTAATTCTAACCCAATTTTGAGCGGATGCCGGTCGGGGGAGGGGTAGGGGAGGAGGTGGGACTGTTATTGTTTTGACTTGGGAAAGGGGGGAGGGGGCGTAGGGGGGGGGAAGCCACCGGTGGCCACGACCCCAGCGCTGCGCGGGCGCTGCGGAGGCTGGACGAACCAACCACCGCGCTGCCACAAGTGTTGTCTGCCTTCCCGGCGCTCCGTGCGCGTCGCGTATGCAGCAGACTGATTCCGAGAGTCGTTTTCGTCGCTCTGTCTCTCTCTCTTGCACCTTCAGAGGACGCCTTACGAGTGCGAGAGAGACGGAGTGACGCAGACGACACTCGGAATGAGTCTGCACTGCAGGCGTTGCAGTGCTCGCTCACCTCTCTGTCCAGCGGGCGGACTACCCGGACTTGTCCGGTGGTGCGGTCCACCTCGAAGCGGTCCGTGCCCACGATGCCGTAGCGGAGCGGCGAGCCCTCGGGGTCCTCGCCCTTGAGGGTGTAGACCACGTCGCCGACGGGGGCGTCCTCGAAGAGCACCAGGCCCTGCATGTCGGCCAGGAACAGCGGCGGCCGGTTGGCAAGCGCATCTGGAAAGGAGGAACCCGAGTTTGAATAAAATGAAGTGGACACACTGCAAAAATTCAAAACTTTTTAATTTTGAACGCGAAGCTTACCTTGAGTGGCGACCAGCAGGAGGAGGGCGAGCGGCAGCCACGGCGCCGACGCGGCCCGGTCGGCCTGGTGGCGGCGGGGCATGGCGGCCGAAAGGCCTGCAAGGCGGCCGTGCCGTGCCGTGCCGTGCCGCCGTGCCGTGCCAGCCGTGCCGGCCGGCCGTGCCGGCCAGCCGTCCCGTGCCAGCCGTGCCGTGCCGTGCCGTGCCGTGCCGTGCCAGCCGTGCCGTGCCGTGCCGTGCCGGGCGGAGGGGCGGAGGGCGACCCTGGAACAGAATAAGGTTGAGCTCGTTAGTCCCTGGTTCGCTTGGAGGGGAATTGAATGACTCGATGGCGCCTCGCCTTAGCCGCCTCTCGTCGCCGACCTGCCCTGCCTTGTCGCGCTGCCGCCTCATGCCGAAGGATCGTCACGTCGCTCTGTCTCTCTCGCACCGCTGCGGAGCGCCGCGTGAGTGCGAGAGAGACAGAGCGGCGTGACGATTGGCTCACTTCTATCCGCTGTCCGCACCCCCAAATGGCGGCACGTGCGTGCCTCTGTCTCTCTCGCACACACAGTGCAGGCGGCGCAGTCATCACCAACCGCGGAGCGACCACCGACACGCTTGGGATTGGCGGCAAGGCGTGGGAGTCGGCGCAGAGCAGCGCAGGGCGGTCGCTAACGTAACGGCCACACACACACACAGTCACAGACACACACAGACGCGCGCACGCACACGGGCACACTCACACAGGCCGGGTCGGAACGCGTGCAAGTGAAAACGTTCACACGACTGTCCGTTTCACGACACAGCCAGACACAGCGCAGCGCCAGCGCCACTCAAAGCCTCGAAGCCCGGCCAAGCTTGGTCACGGGCAGGCTGGGGCAGGCCAGGGCGGGCACGGCAGCCAGCCATAGCGCAGCGCGTGGCCCGGGGTTCGAGCTCGGTTCGAGCCTCATTTAGCGGCTCTGGAGCTCAAAACGCGTCTAAAATTTTGGCCGCCTCCACCGGTCTTCTGGCCCACTGTGACCCGTCCGCCTCGTGGACTTCCCTCTCGCCGCCTCTCGCGCTGCAGACTGATTCCGAGAGTCGTTTTCGTCGCTCTGTCTCTCTCGCACCTCTACGGGACGCCGCACGAGTGCGAGAGAGACAGAGCGACGAAAACGACTCTCGGAATCAGCCTGCTGCTGGCGGAGGCGATGAAGTGGGTGAAGTGGCGGAACGACGGCGGCGTGGAGTGGTGGCGCCCCGCGGCCGCGCCCCGCGCCCGGGGGCACACGTTCAGGACGTTCAGGACGCGCCGACTCACGCCGACTCCTCCCACTTCCACTTCCTATACATACCTGGCGCGCCCCGCCCCGCCCCGCCGGGTGTCCCGTTAGCAAGAAGACGCTTGGCTGGTGACGCCGCTTAACCCCCCCCCCCCCTCCGCGAAGCCCAAAGCCCCGCGCAAACCGGACGCATGAGTGGAGCTACACTGTTACCGCGCGTTTTGGACACGGCTGGCTTGAATCTCGACTCACGTTGTGATTAAGTTTGGCGGGGAGAGGAAGGGAGGGGACCCTCCCGCGCATGCGTCGCTGTGATCATCGGCAACGGGGACAGGCCGCCAGGGCCGACAGGCACGGCGTAGCTGAGTGGTTAGCGGCTCGGCTTCCGGCGCTCGAGGAAGCGGGTTCGCGTCCTGTCGCGCGGCCTGTCTTTCTGTCCTTCCCGGGACGAGGAGGGCAAGGCGCTCGGCGGGCTGATTCCGAGCACTGTTTCCGTCTCTCTCGCTCTCATGGGGCGTCCCGTGAAGGTGCGACAGTGACAGAGCGACGAAAACGAGTCAGTCTGCCGACAACGGCGAACACCAAAGGGCACTCCATGCCTCCTCAACCTGCTCGAGCAAGCCAACGCCACCCGACGAGGAAATGTTGATCTTTTCGCGGGCCGCGGAGTGTTACAAGTGTTATGCACGGCCAGCCAGCCAATAACACAATGGCATGAAAAACTAGTTCCCCCGGCGTAGCACTGTAACGCATCGCGTGTGCGCCGCTGCCGGTCACTGCCAGTCTCCGAACGGAATGCCAGTCTCATTCCGCCTCGACCGGCCGGCCGACCGTACATCGGGACGATAGTGGACATCGGCTTGCCCCGTCTCTCTCGCACTCGTGGGGCGTCCCGTAAGGGTGCGCGAGAGACAGAGCGGAGCGGCATGGGCGCACAGTGGGCCGGCCGGCCGGTGGAAGCGGCAAAAACTGTGAACGCGTTTTGAGCTCCAGAGTCGCTAAGTGGGCCTCGAACCGAGCGTGTGACCCCACCAATGGATTGCTCTCCGAACGAGGAAACCATAGGTGGGGTCACACGTTCCGTTCGAGTCCCATTAAGCGACTCTGGAGCTCAAAACGCGTCCCGGATTTTGACCGCCTCCACCGGTCTTCTAGCCCACTGGGGGGCGGGCGGGTCCTTGGGCGGGTCGCTGCATGACCGCACGGCCGATGCATGCATGCTCACTTTCATCGGCCGGTGGCGATGCCCGCGGCGGCAAGGCGGCAAGCCTTGGCTCGCCTTGGCGTGTAACAAGCGGGCAGTGTAATGAAAGCCCACGGCCGCCATGGCCCATGGGAGAGCACGCTCGCGGCTCCTCCTCCCGTTCGGCTCCTTTCTCTTCGGAAAGCGGCGAAGGCGGCAAAGGCCTTCGTGGCGTTCATGTTCATGGGGAGCGCCACGAACGACCGTCATGCATGCCATTGCCTGGCCCTGGAGTCTCAAGGCCATGGGGGAGGGGGGAGCTGCTGGAAGAGCTGGGAGTGTAGCCAGTGTAGCTGAGGGGAGTCGACCAAGGATAGTCGACCCAAGGGGAGCCGACCCAAGGGGAGCCGACCCAAGGGGAGCCGACCCAAGGGGAGCCGACCCAAGGGGAGCCGACCCAAGGGGAGCCGACCCAAGGGGAGCCGACCCAAGGGAAGCCGACCCAAGGGGAGCCGACCCAAGGGGTGCCGACCCAAGGGAAGCCGACCCAAGGGGAGCCGACCCAAGGTGAGCCGACCCAAGGGGAGCCGACCCAAGGGAAGCCGACCCAAGGGAAGCCGACCCAAGGGGAGCCGACCCAAGGGAGCCGACCCAAGGGAAGCCGACCCAAGGGGAGCCGACCCAAGGGGAGCCGACCCAAGGGGAGCCGACCCAAGGGAAGCCGACCCAAGGGGAGCCGGCCCAAGGGGAGCCGACCCAAGGGGAGCCGACCCAAGGTGAGCCGACCCAAGGGGAGCCGACACAAGGATAGCCTGCAGTTGGCGAAGGGCTAGGCAGGCGAGGAGGCCCGCTTCGAACACAACAACACACGCTTCTTTTTCTTTTTTCCCGCCGCGCGCTTCTTAACATTGTGCAGTCCTGTTCGCCTCTCCACTTTTTTGCCCTCGCCTCCCTTTGCCTTTTGCCTTTTCCAGCGAGGACGCCAACGGCGGCAAAAACAACGCGAGAAAGTAGTGCCGCTTGTTGTGCGGCACGGCCGGCACGGGGAGCTTCACATCACATCAGGCGTCAGGCGGCGCGGCGCTATAGTGAGTCTGAAAGGCCCCGGCGCCGGCGGCGGCGCGGCGCGGCCGGGGCAGAGGCCGACCGGGGCAGAGGCCACGGGCCCGAAAGGCGTGAGAGGGCAGCCGCATTGTTTTTAAAAGGTTCACACACACACGCACACAAATCAATCAATTAGGCGCGGCGCCGCGGTGCGTGGTGCGGTGCGGTAATCATACGATGCATCGGCATCACACTCTCCACGACCGCGGTGGCGTCGCGGCGTCGCGACGCGCTTGGACAGGTAAAGCAGCAGTGCTGCACTCTGCTTCCAAGAGCCGCTTCCGTCGCTCTGTCCCTCTCGCACCTAGGCGGGACTCCCCCGTGAGCGCGAGAGAGACAGAGCGACGAAAACGACTCTCGGAATCAGTCTGCCGGATGACGGCGGCGGGGATGAGGGAGCGCCGGCAAGGTGCAGGCCGGTGCAGGCCGTCACGCGTGGCGCACGTACTCTCTTTTTCCAATCATACAGCAGAAACAACAACAACAACAACAACAACAACAACAACACCTAAAGACACTTTCACGGCCAGTCAGATGCCGCGGTTGATATTAAGCGGGCCGTAGGCGGCTCGCTTCGCCTGCTGGATCGCTCGGCCTGGACTAGGACTCGACGATATCGAAACAAAGCCCCCGCCGCCCCCGCCGCCCCCGCAACGCGGCGCTGACGGGTCTGGCGCGGCGGGGCGGCAGGCGATCGGGCTTACATCACTTTGCCCTGCCTTTTGCCTTTCTCCCACGACGCATTGACACGCGGCGACACGACGACACGCGACACGTCGACACGCCTCGCGCGCCACTGCTAATGACGGCCTTTATTTTTCATAATCTCTGAGAAGTGTGGCGGCGCGGCGCGCGCGACTTCGCTGGCACACTGTGCCGTGAGGCCGTGACACGTAACGTCTTTATTTTCGATACACCGGCCGGATGCTTGGGCCTCGGTGCAATTAGGCTCACGTTGCAGTTTCTACCTGTCTGTCTGTCTGTCTGTCTGTCTGTCTGTCTGTCTGTCTGTCTGTCTGTCTGTCTGTCGGCCTGTCTGTCTGTCGGTCTGTCATTTGAACACTGCCCTACATCATCCCTGACATTGTGCTAGTGGTTTGAAGTCCCTCAATAAAAACTTGTTGGAAACCAAACTGTCTGTCGGTCTGTCTACCGGTCTGTCTGTCTATCTGTCTGTTAGTCCGTCTGTCCGGCGCTCCGGTTGCCAAGTCGGGACTTCGGCACGTACGCTTCGTGGATAGACGGACTTGGAGTCAATCCGGACATGGAGTCAATCCGGACATGGAGTCAATCCGGACATGGAGTCAATCCGGACATGGAGTCAATCCGGACATGGAGTCAATCCGGATTTGGAGTCAATCCGGATTTGGAGTCAATCCGGTCCTGGAGTCAATCTGGACTTCTTGGAGTCAATCTGGACTTCTTGGAGTCAATCTGGACTTCTTGGAGTCAATCTGGACTTCTTGGAGTCAATCTGGACTTCTTGGAGTCAATCTGGACTTCTTGGAGTCAGGACTTGGCCACTGCGGGCCGACTGGT